GAGAGAGAGAGAGAGAGAGAGAGAGAGAGAGAGAGAGAGAGAGAGAGAGAGAGAGAGAGAGAGAGAGAGAGAGAGAGAGAGAGAGATGACAAGTGAGTAGGTGAATACCGCTTAGACAATTGCTCCTTCTGAGCCTATTTGCAATCCTATCTTGTCAAACCAGCGCTTCTGAAATGCTTGATGTAAGTGTTTTCTATCCGGTCCAACTTCGTTGCCACCGCAAAGTTTTTTTTTGTTTTTGAACTTGCCAATCTGGACCATTTCTCAATTTATTCTCGTCATCCTTACGCAGGGGCCATGCTAATCTTCTCTATATCAAGCACCAGGGCCATGCTAATCTTCTCTATACCAAGCACCAGGGTACTCGGTGCATTTGGCCTCGGTAGGCAGGCAGTAAGGAGGTGCTGGGATGGAGGTTGGAGTGCCATTATTCACGGGAGCCATGGAGGCTCAACTGCTTCAGTTTTAGATAGGGTAGGGTAGTCATCCTGTGTAGCCTAGATTAGAGCGGTCAGGGGTAAGAAGAGCAGGGGGCTCGATCGAATTAAGCCTCATTGGTTTCAAACCCATGGTGTTCTGATTGTTCTGTAGAATACTCATATGGGATGCTTGGCCCGGTTTGCAGGACATGCTGCTCCCTGTGAATACACCGGAGCATTGTTTTTCCAAACAAAAAAAAAAAGAAAAAAGAAAAAAAAACAACACGGCGTTTCTGATTGGATAAGCCGAAGCTGAGTAATTGTCCCAGTGCGCTATGGAACTCCGGGTTGTTTGTGAGGTTTCCTGCCCTTTCGCGGTTCTAATGGATTCTTCACTTACAAAACACGACCCCACCCTCGCCCCCTGGCCAAATAATAATAATAATAATAATAATAATAATAAAATAAAATCTTCTTTATATCGTTTTCCAATTTGAAGGATGTCCCCGAGGACTGGCTGCAACCGCAATAAGAAGAGTCCAAAACAAAACAGGTTTGCTCAGCCAAAAAACAAAGTGAGAAGGTAAACAAGGACTAGACGACGCCTCTCTCTCTCTCTCGCTCTCTCTCTCTCTTTTTTTTTTCTTTTTTTTTTTTCAAAACTCTGAGGCCCTGTCTATTCTGGGGGCAGTAGTCCAGTTGCTTATCACCGGCAAGCAAATGTTCACAGCGCAAGTGAAATACCATTATTTTTATTTAAAACTTAAAAGTTAAAACTGAAAAAAAAAAAAAAAAGCAGAATAGAAAAAACTTCAAAAAAGAGAGACATCACAGATTCACAGATGAATTCCAAGCCTCTTTCCACGTCTATCTTGCCGAACCGTGTTCGGATCTTTTTTTTTTTCTTTTTTTTTTTTCAAAACTCTGAGGCCCTGTCTATTCTGGGGGCAGTAGTCCAGTTGCTTATCACCGGCAAGCAAATGTTCACAGCGCAAGTGAAATACCATTATTTTTATTTAAAACTTAAAAGTTAAAACTGAAAAAAAAAAAAAAAAGCAGAATAGAAAAAACTTCAAAAAAGAGAGACATCACAGATTCACAGATGAATTCCAAGCCTCTTTCCACGTCTATCTTGCCGAACCGTGTTCGGATCTTTTTTTTTTTCTTTTTTTTTTTTCAAAACTCTGAGGCCCTGTCTATTCTGGGGGCAGTAGTCCAGTTGCTTATCACCGGCAAGCAAATGTTCACAGCGCAAGTGAAATACCATTATTTTTATTTAAAACTTAAAAGTTAAAACTGAAAAAAAAAAAAAAAAGCAGAATAGAAAAAACTTCAAAAAAGAGAGACATCACAGATTCACAGATGAATTCCAAGCCTCTTTCCACGTCTATCTTGCCGAACCGTGTTCGGATCTTTTTTTTTTTCTTTTTTTTTTTTCAAAACTCTGAGGCCCTGTCTATTCTGGGGGCAGTAGTCCAGTTGCTTATCACCGGCAAGCAAATGTTCACAGCGCAAGTGAAATAC